ACTTGCTGCATTTGTTGAAAATACAAGAAAATTCCAGATACGAGATGTCATCGACATACTGACCAAGAGAAATTATATGAATAGAAGACTTGAAGAAGACAGGATCAGCGAAAACTTTGCATATTGCCTAAACAAACTAGGAAAATACCAGGCAACAGTAAGATCAGCAAAAATAAGAGGACTGGATCAAGGTAAAATCATTAATTTAAGGAAAAGAGATCGCAGAAGGATGAGAAAGGAACAATCAGAAGCGAAGAGGAGACGTCTTCAGTGAGCATAATCAAAACAAGTAGAACCACGACAATTGTGTTCTGGCACACAAGAAACTAGGACATAGAAAGTGATAGTCATGGTATTAAAGATATAAAACTGGAAAGATGAGGTGGAGATTAAAGCTGTTTGGCTAACAATAGACGTGTTTGATCATAAACGTGATCCTTGAATCACACCTATTTTTAGCCAACCAGCTCTAGCTTCCACGGTTTCTATCCTCTTTCTATCTATAATACCAAGCCTATTACATCCTATGACCCAACCAACAAATGTTGTGACTCAACATTGAACCAAATCAAAACAAGATGTACCACAACATTTTTGGGTTGACAGACAAGAGACTAGGGCATGGCAAATCATAGATTTGGTATTGGGAATATAAACAGGAAAGACGCAGTGGAGGCTGGAGCTAGTTGGTTGACAGTGGGTTTTAGCAGAGACTTGGTCCATGTTGTAGGGGAGGGGTAATAGCGCTTTGATTAGCACAAATGGGGTGGCAGGGGTCGAGTGAAATACGTGAACCAGGGAGATAGCAGACGAATCTTATGGGGCAAGAGGGAGACTGTGATAAGACCTAGGGAAGTAGGACTGCGTGACAATGTAGCAGACTGTGATCAATATTCCCAGCACAAGGATGAAGGGGGGGTGAGAAGGCCAGCGTGGAGTGTGAAGGGTTCTCATGAACACTGCTCAAAAGGGCACACCACACTACCTTTAAATGAGCAAGTGTGATATTGGAGGGGTGATAGAAGGATTTAGGAGATGTGAATAGCCCATGGCAGAAGGGAAGATAATTCAGTTTTTTTGCACACGTTTGGTCAAAGCATCGGCTTTTCTTGTCTCTTTGACGAATTGTTGTGTGTTGCTAAGAGTGGCAAGACTCACTGACGACGCCAGTGAACCGTCGGGGAATGTACCACATCTACGGTCGCCTTTGAAAATGATCATGCATATAATGGACTTCAAACTAGGTACGTTCCACTAAGTCTTTATACCAATTTGACCAAGTTGCGAAAACAAGGTCAAACTACTTCTGTACAACGAAAGGAGACTGCAACCACACAAAAAGTCACACAATCTTGGTCTTCATACCTTCGAGAAAATTGGTTTGTTAAAAACAAGTATGGTATTTTTGCACGGGGCGATTACCTTTCATCGTGTGTTAGCTAACCTTTGATTCCACAGTGCCCATCACATTACATTGGCTTTGTCAAACGACTCCGTCTACTGACTCTCTTCTTTTGACGATCGCTTTTTTAGGTTATCTCCTTCATCTTGGCCTCCAGTGGCGTCATTCTGAACATATACACCGACCAGCTCGTCATGTGGTACAAGGTGCTCTGTACACTGTCCGTCGTCTCCTACGCCCTCTTCACGGTAATTCAAGCGACTTTCGAGACTTGTCGCTCTACGATTGTATATAATTCTTGTACTTTTTCAGCTGAGTTCCTACATATTGGCGATGTAGACGTCATTGAAAATTGGGTCTTTTATAGAGCAACAAATAGGAGTCTAAGAAGAAAATGTACAAGAAAGGACTCAGAGTGGAAAGACAAAACGACGACGGAATGTGACGTCGGTGCGAAAGCCGTGTTTGGAGACCAGTGGGACTCAAACCATGACAGTGCAGCAATATAAATCTCGACACACTAACCCTATATCGTTTAGGGTGATGAAGAACTGGTAAAGAATTTTCTCACAATTATGTGAGCATAGCTGACGTTTCCATCGAAACTGCAGTCCACTCCAGCCGGGATGAGAACAACATTTGGGAAAGCAAGGTTATGTGAAATTAACTGGTAACGTCAGCTCTACTCATATCATTGTGGGAAAATTCTACTACCAGTCCTTCATCAGCTTAAACGAAATCGGGAGAATACATCTCATACTACTGATTTACTGGTAGTCTCGAAACTCTACTTAAATACGAAAAATAAGTAACGTAGTCAATTGCTATAGCAAATATGCTGTTGCTTTATCAACAAACACATTAAAGAATATGATATGTCAAAAGGACTGGCATTCGTTGAAATTCACATGTGCCCTGTGAGCCAAGGGCACT